CAGAATAAGGTTATTGTGAGCTGAAAGTTTTTCCTTTTCTCTCCCATGTTGCTGTTACACTGAGAATTCCCTTTAAGAACTCCCTTTACTTTCTTTGTTAGAGCCCTGCTACTTAACAGGTTAAGCGAGCAGCAGAAGGTTTCCTTGCATGTACCTAGTGACTATGCTGCAGTAGTGTTGTGTTGCTTCTAGCCTGAATTAGTAGGAATCTGTAAAGTAAACTTTGCAACCTAACCGATCAAAGTCATTGTTCTTCTGCTGAAAATCTCACTTGTAAGAATTAACACCTACATAGAAAAGATGATCCAGGTCTTACGCATAGTTCACTTTTCCCTATTTGAAGAAGAAATAAAAAATCCAGAATGGTGAAGAAGATGCCTTGTATCGAAACAGCCTGGTTGGTGAATGGATAAAGTATGCGTAATAATTGGGGAATAAAAACCATAAGCTGTGGTTAATAGTATAGAAGTGAGTCTTCTAGTAGGGAGCCTTGCAGAAATGTAGCAGTGGAAATAGTATTGCCAGTGAATCTGATCAGAAAGGCATTAAGAAAGTATTAAGTCTTCCTGACAAAGTAACTGACAGTATTTATTTTTCATTGTTTGGACCACACTTCTGTAACTTCAAGTGAATTCATCTGATTCTTCTCCAGGCAGGTGAAAAGAAGCCAGAGATGCTCATTTCTTGCATTTGAGGAATACTGCTAATTACTGCTCCTGGTGCTTTGTCGAGAGTAGGTAAGAAACTTGTAAAAATACAGCGGATGATGAAGTACAAGGAAGGAACACAATAGAAGAGTAGGCCTCCAAAATAGTTAATGCCTCCCTCTTGCCAAGTTGATAGCTGGCAAGCATTCAAGATAACATTACTTGCATTTTTAAAGATACCTTAGCAAATGATATTTTATGAAGAATTGCTTGAGCTGCAACAACAGTTTTAACGCTTAGAATATGTCACTGAGTTTGTTCAAAGACAGTTCGAACTTTGATGTCTTCTGATTTTGTTAGCCTGCATTAAAATAGAAATATTGGAGTGCTACGTGCCCTATTTCCTGGTGCAGGTTCTTGTGGGAGCCTTTGAAGCATGTCACAGCTGTGAGATTAAAAGCTCAGTCCTGAAGTCAGTCCTGAAACTTCCTTTGATATGAGATCAAGCCTTCCAGCGTACTGACAGGAGGGTTCTTGAAAGCTCTGCCTGACTCAGTGCCTAAAAACATTACACAAGATCTGTTTGTCTAATGAGCGACAGAGAAAACACAACATAATTGCTAAGGCAATGAATGAAATAGCAGTAAATATTTAGATGGCTTCAGAAAAACAGGAGAATATGTGGTTTTTCAATAGTACAAGAATTACAGAGAAAGTGAATCCTAAAAGGAAGATCAGAATAAATTAGGTAAATCTAAAGGGGGAAATAATGTAATAGCGTGTTTCTGAGGCTGAAATTGCACACATGAAACAAGAGCAAAGCACAGGTTTTGTTCTCTAATGAGGCTTACTTTTCCACTATTCTCCAAAGATGAAGACAAAGGCAAGTCAACAGGACAAATTCATGAGTGTGGGAAATCTTAAAAACCAAGGCCTGTGCAAATTAGAATATATTACTTTTCTGAAGTTTTTATATTGCTATGGTCCTTTAGTGCAGAAGGAAGAAGGAGAAAGCAGCGAGGAAGGAAGAAAAATGTATCAGAGGGGAAGAATGAAGAGGGGAAGGAAATGAGAATCGGAGAGACTGACTTGCGTGGGCAGATAGTGATACAGGGGGGAATGGTTTTAAACAAAAAGATGAGAGATTCAGACTAGTTATTAAGAGAACATTTTTTACCCAGAGGGTGGTGAGGCACTGGTAAAGGCTGCTCAGTGAATCTGTAGGTGCCCCATCCCTGGAAGCATTCAAGGGTGGGTTGGATGGGGCTTTGGGCAGCCTGAGCTGGTGGGGAGCAACATTACCCACAGCAGTGGGGTTGGAGCTAAGTGGTTGTTAAGGTCCCTTCCAACCCAAGCCGTTCTATGATCCTAAGTGGAAAAGCACATCCAGGAAGTAGATGACACAAAAGTTCATTCAGCATCTTTAATGCCTTGTCAAGGATAATGCATAGTCAGTAATCCATCATATTTTCCTTTCTGCCGTAGCCTGGTGAGGATTATTCTTCTTTGCTCTCTCTTGTTTAAATTCTTTCCATTTTATTTTCTTTTTGCATCGGTCTCCTAGGTCTTGTTGTTCAACTGCAATATATTTCAGTTCTTTGAGCGTTAGGACTGTGCTTATAGACCACAAAAAAATATAGTTTAATTTGAAATGAGGTTATGAGGTATGCTGGTATTTTTACTGTTGTTAAAATGCAGAACTGGAAGTCTTTCTCTCATTCTCATATCAGTTGCCACCCAAATGAATGCTGGTTGTTGTGGTATTCCCTTATTCAGTCAGTTTTCTAGTTCTGCGTACCTTGGGTGAATGCTTGTTCTGAAGACAAAATAATGAAAGCTAATTTTGTGTGCCTTAAATTGCTGTAATTTGATAGAAGTGCCAGATTATGCTTGTACAATGGTGTCATAGAATGGCTTAGGTTAGAAGGAACCTTCTATGTAAGACTATTCTCCATGAGTTCTCCCAGTCTGTACTCATATCTGGGATAGTCCTGACTCAAGTGCAACATTTGCCCTTGGCCATGTTGAACCTCATTAAGTTCACATGGGCCCACTTATCCAGCCTGTCCAAGTCCCTCTGGATGGTATCTCTTCCTCCTTTTGTACCAGCTCTTAGTGTCCCCATGCATTCTTTAAACAAAGTGTGCTCAGGGCACTGACAATCCCTGCCAGTTCCACAGAGAACATCAAACAACCGTGTCATCTGCTACCAAGATGGCAGTAAATATTCGGATGACAGAATTGTTTGGAAAACTGGGAGCATCACGTATTCCTGGCAGCTACAATGTCATAGAGGAAGACCTAAGATTTACTTCATAAACTGGTTTTCTGAGTTGTTTTATTCCCAGGCGCTTTGACTGAAATAAATTAAGTTCCTAAAATACTTCACTGGTGAGAATTTGGTAGAGCAATAAATATTAAAGTGAGAATTTGGGCAAAATCTGCAAGTACCTCAAATGTACATTTGGACTCTGCAGTAGTGAATTGTTGAATTATTAGACTGACATTTCTTACTATGCTTTAAGAAAAAAAAAGAATGACATTTAATAATACTGGATAGCAGGGACAGTATAATAAGACCTGATAGCAAAGTAGAACAGGAATGCAAAACCCAAAGACAATAAATTTGACTTCAGTTTTAGGCATAGTAACTTAGTGGGCAATGCTGTGTGTAATATGACAACAAAGACATTATTGTTCTGGATGAATGTTTGTAAAATATAAAGAGAACTATCCAGTTGAGATAGAAAAAAGAAAGAACAAAACCCATTTCTACTCTAAATTCGATGTTTTCTTGTAGAAGAGGATTAAGAAGAGAAAATCAGAATGAGTACAGAGAAAATATTTTATCAAATTGAGATTAATTTTGATTTACTTCTGATTTTAAAGCAGTAGACCTACCCAAGGCATTGATGTTTCCAGATATTTTTGTAGGAGGACACTAAGAAGCAACCAAAGCTACAAGGACTTCAAGAGGCAACTTGGATTCAAAACAGATATTAGTTGTCGTATGCTTAATTCCATTTGCAAGCATTCACAAATACCAATTTTCCAAATCACTGTGTGAAGAAACAGTTAAGAAGAACAGTACTTTCAAATTCTTTAGTTGCTAGTTTTTTCTTAAAATTTTGGTTGAACTGAAACAGTATTTTGTCACTAAAGATTTTGAATCAGTACATCTCTGAACTCCTAAATGCTTTATAGCAGCTCTGTAGTATTCATTCCTTCATGGTATGTAATTAGTCATTTTGGGCTCTTCACTACAAGAAAGACATTGAGGCCCTGGAGTGTGTCCAGAGAAGGGCAATGGAACTGGTAGGGGTCTGGAGCACAAATCTTGTGAGGAGTGGCTGAGGGAGCTGGGATTGTTCAGTCTGGAGAAGAGGAGGCTCAGGGGAGACCTCATTGCACTCTATGCCCTTCTTCCTGAAGGGGAGTTGTGATGAGGAGCGGTTTGGCCTCTTTTCCCAGGCTACAAACAGGACCTGAGGAAATGGCTGCAAGTTGTACCAGAAGAGGTTTAGATTAGACATAAGGAAAAACTTTTTCTCTCGGAGAGTGGTCAGGTATTGGAATGGCTGCCCAGGGAGGTGGTGGAGTCGCCGTCCCTGGCAGTGTTTGAGAGGCTCCTGGATGAGGAGCTGTGAGATATGGGTTAGTTTGTGGTAGCAGTGGTAATGAGAAGACGGTTGGACTGGATGATCTTGCAGGTCGTTTCCAACCTTGTAATTCTATGATTTGCATAGAAAGAAGGTCAGAATAAGGAAGAAATGGTGGTTTGAAATTTTCCAAAAATTTAAACAATTGGAAAGAGTGGTCTGTATTGTTTTTTAAGATGAGGATGATTCTGGGTTAACTGCATAAGACTTTATTTTCACGGAATTGTAGAATGGTTGATGTGGGTACGGAGTGCTGGAGATCCAGCCTGGCTGTCCCACTCAAGCCCCTCTGTTCAGTTAGGTAAATTGCTGTCTCAGCTAAAACAAGCAAAACTTCCAGCAGGTCAAAAATATTTAGAGAGTATTCCTGAGAAGCCTCAGCCTGAGACCTTGCAAACTCAGTACAGTGCTTATGGCCTGTTACAGGCAGTGGTGACGCTGTATTCCAGTGCTGCATGGTTGAAAGATCCATGCTGACTATGCACAGTAACCTTGTCCTTCTTGTGTTTGGAAGTGGTTTCTAGAAATAACTGCTGCCTCAGCTTCTAAGGGTTGTAGGTGAGGCTGACCAACCACTAGTTTCCTGAGTCCTCCTGTTTGCCCTTCCCAAATGTACAAGCAAGATTTGTTCTTTTCCATTCTTCAGGAACCTGTCTTCATCATAACCTTTTACAGACAATTGAGTGCCACAAAATCAAGGAATTATTTCTGTTGGAAGGCATGGATGCATCCGAAAAGGTCCCATGAACTTGTTCATCTCCCATTTTTTTCCAAATGTTCTTTAACTTGATCCACGTCTTTTGATCAGGCTTTCTCAAACAGTTCAAGAGCGCCGAACACCTGAAAGCTGACCTTACCTGTAAAACACAATGCAAAGTAGGCATTGAGTACCTCAACTTTCTCCATATCCTTTGTACCCCATTCAGCAGCAGGTCTGCATTTTCCCTGATCTTCCTTTCATAGATAATACACATGTACAAGTCCTTCTTGTTCTTGTGCCTCTTGCCAGATTCAAATATAGGTGGCTGTTGGCTTTCCCAGCTCTGTCCCCACACGCAGAATCACAGAATGGCCAGGGTTGGAAGGGATCACGAATCTCCAACCCCCGTGCCACATGCAGGGCCACCAACCTCCCCATTTAATACTAGACCAGGCTGCCCAGGGCCCCATCCAACATGGCCTTGAACACCTCCAGGGACGGGGCATCCACAACCTCTCTGGGCAGCCTGTTCCAGCACCTCACCACTCTCTTGGTAAAGAACTTCCCCCTGATGCGCAACCTAAATCTCCCTCCTTCCCCTGGTCCTGCTGTTACTCACCCTTTCAAAGAGTTGATTCCCCTCCTGTTTGTAGGCTCCCTTTAGGTACTGAAAGTCTGCAATGAGGTCACCCCGCAGCCTTCTTTTCTCCAGGCTGAACAAGCCCAGCTCCCTCAGCCTGTCCTCATAGGAGAGGTGCTCCAGCCCCCTGATCATCTTTGTGGCTTTCCTCTGGACCTCTTTGACAGCTCCCTGTCTTTCTTGTACTTGGGGCTCCACACTTGGATGCAGTACTCCAGATGGGGCCTCACAAGAGCAGAGTAGAGGGGAACAATCGCCTCCCTGTCCCTGCTGGCTACACCTCTTTTGATGGAGCCCAGGATACCATTTGCCTTCTGAGCCGCAAGGGCACACTGCTGGCTCATGTTAAGTTTTTCATCTATCAAAACCCCCAGGTCCTTCTCCACAGGGCTGCTCTCAAGGACCGCTCCTTCCAGTCTGTAGGGATGCCTGGGATTCCTCCGGCCCAAGTGCAAAACTCTGCACTTTGCTGTGTTGAACCTTGTTGCATGCATGTTGAGCCGTGTTGTACACTTGGGCAATATCTCTTTATTCCTCCCAGGTCACCTGGCCTTGACTTTTGTTTGCATCCTTTTTGTACTTGAGTTTTTAAGAGGCTCCTCATTTCACACAGCTTTCTTTGCTTGATTTCCAGCACATTGTGATGGATCATTCTGGAACTAGCGGGGACTTGAAAGCAAACTGGCTCTCCTGGTCCCATCTACTCTGTAGGGAGGTACTGCTGTGTGGGCAGCAAGAAAACAGAAAAGTAATCAGGCTAGTAACAGATAAAAAAAGAGGAACCGCTTATCTTATTCTGAATTCTGGGTAAGTATTTAGAATGTCTAAAGGAAAAGTAAAAACCCTTGGCTCTGTAAGCCACTTACAGAGAAGATGAATCAGTTGAGAACTGAACTAACATCATTTTACATGGAACGAGTTTTGAATAAAATGTGACTCGTGAATTCTAGAGAAATTCTAGAGAAATCCTTGCTGTTTGTCATCAAGTCATGTGGCAGGGTTTCGCTTATCTTAAACTGATAAGTATTTTGTTCCTTATTCTGCCAGGCACAGCTGGGTAACCAAAACCAGTTTGCCTAGCATGAAGTTTCCACATGTGGCCACCTGATTTACAAACCTCAAGTTTTGAATTTTTTTCAAAACCCACCTCGGCTCAGAGTGCACATGCATCCTTTTGGCACCACCTAGCTCTCTGAATACTCACCACTGAATATCAAGCAGAAGGAACCTGTCCTAGTAGCAGATCTGGAGGTTGGTGGCACTGCCTGAGACAGAGGGGCTGGAACTTGATGGTCCTTGGGATCCCTTCCAACCCAAACCATGCTATGATTCTATGAAGTCACAGCCAAGGAAGTACCTTGCATGCCTTTCTGGCTAGCAATGTGTCAGTTGTCCTGTATTAGAGATTCTCATAGCCATGAAATATTAATGATGCTATTTACAAAGGCTCTGCAAAGTTGAACTGATGTGATTTCATAGACTCTTGTTACAGGTGGTTTGTCTTTGATGTTCTCTTTGTGTTTGTTTCCAGTCATAATGCGTCGATTCTCCATGTAACTGGGAGAAGTTGAGATAATGTAATTAGGGAAACATATTTTAGCTGATGAAACTTCTTCCTGATGGGACTTTATCTGAAAGGAAACACCTCTTTTTTATCCAGCAGTGATTACTCACTAATCTGTTTAATCTGGGTACGGGTTAACAGAGAGCTGCAGTGAATTTTTCTTAATGGATTATTTGTTAATGTGGCTCCTCCTCGTGGCTAATCTTTGTAACACACAGCTGGGCAAACGCGTGCTCATCTCTGAGCAAAAAAAAACACATTGAGCCTAAATCTTCAGGTTGTTCAGAAACAAAGAGCAGATCATTAATAATTAATATCCAAAAAGCATTTCAGCCATGTGCCTACACCCACTTCCCATTTCCTCGTGGGCCCATTGCAAGTCAATGAGCTGGTTTGTGGCTCTCCAATCTGTGGGAGGCTCTGTGAAGAGGCAGACCAAGGTGGTGCAAAGGGAGATGCTTGCTCAAGGAGACCAGCAAGCCTTTCAATGGTGTTCATAGGAGATGTAATTTGCTGTGTTTTAACCTTTAAAATATCGTATCTGCACGTTATACTGAGATAAAGGATCCTTTGGAAGTGGAAACTGTCTATTCGAGTCTGAAGAATTCAGTAGTTGAGCTGTGTATCATTTTATAGATCCTTCTCATAGGCAGTATATCTTTGATTTTTTCTTTTCTGTTATTTACACTCATAATATATTTGTTCTCTATATAATAATGAAAAGTCAAAATAAAATTAGGTCCACCTGGAATAAACATTTAGAGTTTCTCTATATAGTACTTTTGGAGCTTTTTTATCTAAATGTCAGTATTTGTCATAGGGAAACAGTCCTTAAAAGAAAACTCGCACATTCTTTATAAGACAATGAAAAAATCCCACCTGACTTTATTTTCTGTGATTTAACAGACCAAATATTGCATAGTTTAGAATGCATAAATGGACAGTATGGCTGGAACAGATGTTGTTGTATAATGCTATTTGAGACGCATCACAAGAAAACATGTTTGTAACATATCTTAATGGTTTTCTCTCTCATTTACTGAGTTGTTTGTTGTGGGTTTTTTTTAGTGTATTCAGTAAGTACTGTTTCTCTTTTACCCGACAGACTTCCCAGGCAGGGAAAGCTGTGGGATCAGAGGATGATGCTGTTCCTGGTGGTGTTTTGTCTGTGGTTCCCAGCTTTGCAAATAGCAAGTGTAACATCCACAGCTACTTGGCAAAGAAGACAAAAAACAGTCATTCAATTTCATTTCACTTCAGTATTGTTTTCACTTTCAAGGAGGAGGAGGAATAAAACCATGTCTCTATCCAACATCTTTATTCTCTAGCAAACATGTACTTAGAGATTTGTCACAAAACCTCAACAGAAAGGGATATAAACTTTCTAATATGCAGGTGACCAGACACAGTCCATAACAAAGACTAGCCCATGCAGACTCTCTTTGCTTTGGTCCTCATTCAGATTTTCACCCTATACAAACTCAAGCAGTGATATTTATGAAAAGGAATTGCGGCTGTCTAGTCTGGGGCAAAGGAGGCTGAGGGGAGACCTTATTGCTGTCTTCCAGCACCTGAAAGGTGATTGCAGCGAGAGTGGGGTTGGTTTCTTTTCACTGGTGATAGGTGACAGGACAAGGGAAAATGGACTTAAGTTATACCAGGGTAAGTTTAGGTTGGATATCAGGAAACACTTCTATACAGAAAGGGTTGTTAAGCACTGGAATAGGCTCCCCAGGGAGGTGGTTGAGTCACCATCCCTGGATGTGTTTATAAACCATTTGGATGTGGTGCTCAAGGACATGATTTAGCAAAGGGTTGTTAGAGTTAAGGTACTGCGGTACCTGAGCAATTCTATGATTCTGTTTTTCCTGGTATGGCTGAGACACACACCTGTTCCCATTAACTTGGGTAGCCACAAGACTTGTGTGTACGTTTGTCAGCTACTATGAACTTGCTTGGCAGCATGATTATGGTCTAAGGACCTCTCTTGTCTCTTTCTCTACCCCTTAGCTTTACTCTGCTTAATGAAAAATGATCCTTGAAGCAACCAGAAAAGTCATGACAGCAGCTTAATCTGCAGTGTGGATTTAACTCAATATGTCCTTGGAACGTTTGGACAATCACAGTACTGTTGTGATTTTCATAACAGCCAATAGCTAGGTGAATTGATTTTTCACAGGGATTAGGGTTGCAACAATTGAGAGGGGATATGGAAATAATAATTAAAAATTCATTTTCCTAATCTGTCTCGGAGATTTGGACTGATACAGTGCCCACTGCCCATGCGACTGGGTGAAAAAAAAAAGAAAGGCAGATATGGGAAAGTTTTTCTGTGCAAGTCTAGATAAAATAACTCAATTTATTTACTATTTTTCATGAGAGAAGGAGACATTCAACAGCAGCAAAAGGAAATACGTAAGAGTAAGAATTATAAAAGAAAAGTTTTTCTTATAACCAGTCCATTGAATATGTTGTCAAGAAGGTATGACTGTCGGTATTTGTGTCACTGTGACAGAGTGACAGCGTCATGAGAACGTAAATGGCTAAAGTACTTGCAGGATTTTGTAAATGCATTTGGAAATTGGAAAGACTTTCATACCTTTAAGATGAAAGCTGTTTTGAGAGTGCTGAAGAGCTTGGTGTCTTACTGCAAAGTTATTTTTTGACAGCATTGCATGGACTTTGTGTGCCTTTCTCTAAACCTTATGATGTTGGCTGTGGAGAAGAGAGAGAATCTTGGAATACAGAAAGAAAAAGAATTATATAAATATGATGTAATAATTTATCAGTTGTATTCCTGGCTCAGTCACTAACCCAAACACACATTTCCTGCAGAAGCTAAGTGCCACTTTATTGTAATTAAAGTGAATTTCTTGTTCTGAAACACTGACAGAAAGATGGCCTTTAAAATTCAGTGCACATACTGTTTCACAGAATAAACTTGTCTGACCAGCTTGAAAAGAATGAAGAAGACAAAGAATTGGAAAATATGTGAACAGACAGGTCTGATTTAGGAGAGTGAGTGTGATATGTAAATGGATAAGCATGAAATTATGACCAGCTTGCCCATCTCTCCATGCAGAGCACGAACAGGTGCCTCATGACAAGGCATGCAGAAGCATTCTTTTAGTATAAGATTTGTCTCTGTAAATTATCCAATGTCTTGTGAAAGCTTAATACTGACATTTGTAAGTTATTAATTCTATCATTGTCTTGAAAATCTCAGAACTGCAAGGCATTAACTTCAGTGAGAGTTGCTTGGTTGAGGGGCATAGAGTGTAGCCCATGACATCAGCCTAAGAAGAAACTATACTCCCCAGAGACAGAGAGAGGTTTTGAAAGTGAATTTATTAACACAGCTACAACCATTTCAGGTACTGATGGCTTTGCTCTAAATGGAATTCCAACCTGAAATATCTAATAACTGTCTTGCTAAATTTGGTCGGTAACAGTGTTTCTCAGTGTACCTTATGAGAATCAGGTTCACCTGTAAGGAAGCCAAACAATTTAATTTACTGACAGTATAACTTTCTGCCTGACAGAACACCAGTAGAGAATATAGTAGGGGCAGCTTCCTAGGTTTCATGTGGCAGCTTCCAGCCTGTTCATCCAACAACAGAGCCCCCCTCTGAAAGATAAGGCAGTTGAAGCCTAGACGATTCAATTACTGCAAGGCTGAAAAAATCCCTAATATTCTGAATTTTTTCTGGTGTTTGCAGTGATTAAAAAAAAAACCAAAAAAACCAACAGCTGCATGTTATCACTAACCACAGTTTTAGCAGTTTTCCTTGTGCATACACTGGGTGCTAAATATGGTGCTTGAGAGATACTGCTATGTGGGAAGCACTTTGCTCCCTTTTGCTAGCAGCATCGCTGCTGTAATTGTGTATTTCTTGATGTAGGCAAAATTCAGCCTCTTGCTGGAGGTAAAATGTGCATCACCATTCTCTAAAACAAGAAATGTGTGTTTTTGTTGATTCTGGGTATGCTGCCCTACGGAACTCCTGGAATGAATGAGTAGGGGCTGAGCTACTAGAGTCATTGGGTAGCTTTACTGAATTCTGCTTTGAATGTTAAAAAGATAACTACAATTTTTATTCTGCATGACTGATGGAAAGCACTGGCGTTTCTGTTTGCTATCTGTTGCATGTGTCATGAAGTTTGGCCTAGCTGAAATGCTCCCAGCAGGGGCTATCTGGAAAATCTCCCCAGCTGGCAAGTCAGTGTGTATGTCTCTGGCTGGCACGAACAGGGTGACTCAGCTGTCAGGAACATTTCTCCCTAGATTCCATTCTGCTTCAGAGCTTGAGATTGCTCTGCCTTTGCCTTTTGGCTGACATCAAAGAATGTTAAAATAGATAGGGTTTTGTCTCCAGGAAGCTTCCTTGGTTTAAACTGAAATTCTCAAATATTTTTATTTCACAGAGCAGCAAATTCAGAATCATAGAATCATATATTCTATTATCTATTATCATATATTCTATTCAGTATTTTGTGCAGAGAATTTTTTTTTCTTAAATGGCTCATGCTGAGTAGCCATGTCTGATGTCAAAGCCCTCCTTCTATTTAATGGCCTTTCCTGTGTTACTTACACAGGCAAATGCTCTTAAAAAGACTGACTGTTCATTACATTTAAAAACATTTTTTCTGGTGGGAATTGATGGAAACCTTGTTATTCAAGGCCTTTGACATGGTCTGAAGGCCTTTGATATGGTCCCCAACAACGTCCTTATCTCTAAATCAAAAAGATATGGATTTGAAAGGTGGATAAGGAATTGGTTGGAAGGTAACAGCCAGAGGGTTCTGGTCAGCTGCTCTATGCCCGGGTGGAGGCTGGTGGCAAGTGGTGTTCCCCAGAGGTCTGTCTTGG